AAATATGAAGCCTCCTGTCATGTTATAAAATTGTAGATTATGCTAACACAGTGTACCTATAATCTTAAAATTATTAAGGACAGGAGGCGAATATTTTCCCACCCTTCTTTTTCCCCTCCCTGTTTATGTGATTCAATGTTTTTTACCTCAATAATGAATTAAACATTTTTTTTTATCCTATTGGGAATTCCTGTTTATTAATCCTATCCCTGCCTATCTTTGGAGAGAGAGAGCACACCTTATGGCTAGTGTAATACAATTCATTTTATAATTCCGTTTATCTGCCCGTTTTGGGATTATATACTTCAATAAAGATTTGAATACATTTGAGGTGTGTGTATTGGGTTATTATGTGTTTTTAATTATTGTTACACATATTGAGATTTGTGATTATTTTACTTATTAAGATTAGCTTCACATACAATTTGAGTTTATATTAATGTATATATGACAAACAGTTCATTTCCAAGTCCCCTTCACGTATTTTTGATCATTTTCAGTTTGATTCACCTTCATGGATCACTACATGGGATCATCTTCGCGCTCTATAAAAAACAGGATTCGGATCGTTTACAGTCTGAATCTTCATCGTTATAGTTATTGTTTATTCTATTTAAAGGATGCATTTTTTGTTATATCGCATCAAAGAATGAGGAAGAGATACAGGGGGAGGGGCCTTTTATACCCTGTTGCAGTATGTTTTTTTTCACTAAACTTTATTGTTAAATCTGTACTGCTGGAGTCTAGTGAAGAGAGTTTAATACAAAATATGAAGCCTCCTGTCCTTAATAAAACTAAGATTATAGGTACACTGTGTTAGCATAATCTACAATTATTTGCACTTGTGTGCCAGGGGCTAGTTACACCCCCAGCTCACAGGAATTTGGCAACCCGGAACTCTGTTCTAGACTGCCCAATATCAATTCTGTACATATTTTACATCTATTATCTATTATCTATTTTAAAACCAAAAACATAGGAGTTAATATAACAATGACTTAAAACCGATTTCACTATTCCATTTTATTATATAACTATATTATATTTTCAGGTACTTTAAATACAACATAAAACAGCTTAATAAACAGTGTGTGTATATTGCTATTTAATAGTGATGTACCGAACGGTTCGCCGGCGAACGGTTCCTGGCGAACATAGCATGTTCGCGTTCGCCACGGCGGGCGAACATATGCGCGGTTCGACCCGCCCCCTATTCGTCATCATTGAGTAAACTTTGACCCTGTACCTCACAGTCAGCAGACACATTCCAGCCAATTAGCAGCACAGCCTCCCTAGCAGACCCTCCCACCTACTGGACAGCATCCATTTTAGATTCATTCTCAAGCTGCATGCTTAGTAAGAGGAGGGAAAGTGTAGCTGCTGTTCATAAGATAGGGAAAAGCATAGCTAGGTTAGGGATAAGGGTATGCTTTTTTTTTATTTTATTTTTCTATGTAATGTAAATGCACTTAGTTGTCTGCCACTGCTGCCAGCTTCTGTGTCAGGCTCACAGTGCCCATTTCCCCAGTCAGTGCCACCATTTACATCTGGTGTCACAATAGCTTGGATTTAAAAACAAAAAACTTTTTTCACTGTTATAGATTGAATAGCAGTCAGTTGTCTGCCACTGCTGCCAGCTTCTGTGTCAGGCTCACAGTGCATACTGTGCCCATTTCCCCAGTCAGTGCCACCAATTACATATGGTGTCACAATAGCTTGGATTTAAAAACAAAAAACTTTTTTCACTGTTATAGATTGAATAGCAGTCAGTTGTCTGCCACTGCTGCCAGCTTCTGTGTCAGGCTCACAGTGCATACTGTGCCCATTTCCCCAGTCAGTGCCACCAATTACATCTGGTGTCACAATAGCTTGGATTTAAAAACAAAAAACTTTTTTTACTGTTATAGATTGAATAGCAGTCAGTGTCCTTAAAGCGGGTGTGTTGCGCTATCAGTGGATACGCTGACCAGTGCCACTAATTAGATCTGGTGTCACAATAGCTTGGATTTAAAAAAACAAAAAACTTTTTTCACTGTTATAGATTGAATAGCAGTCAGTGTCCTTAAAGCGGGTGTGTTACGCTAACAGTGGATACGCTGACCAGTGCCACTAATTAGATCTGGTGTCACAATGGCTTGGATTTAAAAACAAAAAACTTTTTTTACTGTTATAGATTGAATAGCAGTCAGTGTCCTTAAAGGTGTGTTACGCTAACAGTGGATACGCTGACAAGTGCCACTAATTAGATCCTGTGTCACAATAGCTTGGATTTAAAAACAAAAAACTTTTTTTACTGTTATAAGTGGAATAGC